CTCCATTAATAAAGTTTTCCTTTAATAATGATAAACTATTAATGACCAACATGTTCCTTTACTTAAACCATTACATAAAGCATATATTTTTTCATTAATTTTATAAACATTAAATAAAAATAAAAATTATTTATTATTAATTTATAAATATTTTTTTATAGTAAAACACGTACACAGCATATAATCTTTATTGATACATTTATATATTCAGACAAACACCAAGTGTCTCTACAAATTAACTAAAAATCAGTTGATACAATAGATACCCTTTATGTTTTTACAATTAATCTGCAAATTAATATTAACTAATGCTTATATTTCTATCAAACTAGCTATACCAACTACTAATTATTCAACTATACATTCATTTAAATATCTGAAGATATGTTTACACATCAGATGAGACTTTTCACAGAAGAAAAATTCCACTACTAGTTTAAATCCACCTAATCTACTAAGTCTATTATTGCAAGAAGTATTATATTTATAAAATATTATTATAAAGACTAATCTCAGTATTCCAGTTACTGTTATTGCTTGATTTTTAAAATGTATTACTAATATAACATTGCATTACTATTTTTATCACTTGTGAAATTGGCATCCTTACTTGAATTCTAATTTAATCTTGATAATTCTCATCAGATTCATTTAATCTTAATGATTTTTACCTGGATTATCATCACATGTGACAAATAACATTTACCTTTTTAATCTATTTAAATTCAAGAGAACACTACTCTTAAAATAGATCTTCAAGCTTCAAATTGAAATAAATCAATTTAGAATTAATCTTCTATAAGAATAAATATTAAAAAAATATTATTATAAAATTATATCTTAATTTTAAACCAACTTGTTAATTTTTTAAAAATATAAATATTTTGTACTATTCTATCTTTAATAAATAATCTTAATAATATATCAAAATAATTATCAATAATATTTTTATTGTAAATAGAAAATAGCGTATATAAAAAAACATTTTAAAATTTTTTGTTAAAAAAATATATTATAATTATTATTAGTTAATTTTTTAGTTTAATATATTTAAATTTATAAAGTTATAGGTTTTATATTTTATTTTTGATACTATAAAAAAAAAGCTTTAAAATTCTAATTTTCAAAAATTTACAAGTTAAAAATTATTAAAAAAATTTTTTTTAAAAAGAAAAAAATCTATATATTAAATTAAAAAAATTTTAAATTTATTGAATTAAAATTTATAGAATTATAAAATTGTGAATAAAATTTTTATTTGTAATTGATTTTTTATACTCAAAAAATTTAATTTTAAAATATTTTAAAAAACATTTTTATATAAAATTTATATTATTATAATCTCTAGATCCTAAGCTTTATTTTGATATATTATTTATTAATTTTTATGCAATAGTTTTTGAATAACAAATAAATAAAAATTTTTAAAAAGGGTTGTTACACACTGTATATTTTAACCATATTTGAATAAAGAAATTTTAAAATTTCTATATATTTTTATATTTCAAAATAATCAGATAAGACATTATAAGTATAATTTTTTAAGAAAAAAAAATAAAACATTGTTATATGCCGTAATAAAATATTTTTTAAAATAAAAAAGCAATATTATTTTATCGCTATTTATTTTATTTATAATTATACTTGTGAAATTTAATTGATTTTTTTGTTTTAAATTAAAAAAAAAAATAACTTTATTTAATATTAAAATAAAGTCTATTGTTTTTTTCAATATCAGTACGTAATAGAAATAATGATTTTTTCTATAGGAATCATCATTATTTTATTGTTTTATAATATATGGTATGTATAAAAGGAAATAGTTAATTGCTTGGACAAATCGCTTATAATTAATGGAGAAAGCTTAATTCTGACTTCTTAATCACCAAAATAGGAATAGCTAAAACGGGTAAATATTTCATTTCAAGGGGGAGCGACGCCAATGTCGTCGTTTAGTATTTCTCTCACATAATCTTGTATTCCAGGAAAGCAATTTTTGAACACACTCCTTGATTTTAAGTTGTCTTGTCTTTCAACGAACAAGGAATATGAAATTTTTTTTGTAAAATGATTGGTATTTTATTATCGTGGGAAGACAAAGGCGGAAGATCCCTGAACAACGATCTAGAGGTTACACGTAATCGCGTGGTTGACAGAGTATGTTAATCAGCCTATTGGCTGACATCAAACAATGAAATTATACATTTTGGTTGTACACTACAAACGCATGGACGAATGGAATGTGATTCTATTACGTATTCAACTTAATTTTGTATGCGGTTTGGTGCTACGATTAAGGTAAAATTTTTGGAATAAATACAACGCGCGTTTTCTCCATCATTTTCATAACATTCGTCTCGCATTCTTTAGAAGAATTGCATTAATTAATTCATTCATTCATCATATTATATGAAATCATATCAAATCTACGGTCATATTTTTTAAATACACATTCTTTACAATTCATCCAGCTATCTTTTTAAATGTCTTTAGAAATAGAAATGGATCCCCTGTTAGAAGAGAAAAAGACTTCGAAAGTCTCTTCTAATAGTAAAAACTCATCCGAAAAAACTCCATTGCTTCCGATTTCTTCAAAACATTCACATACATCCTCGAATCCTCGAGCTTATTCTTCCTTTTCCGAATATCTTCCAGATTCCTTTCCATCCTGGATTCCTTATTCCGTGATATCTGCAATTTCACATTTTTCCTCAAAGATCTCGTCCACATCTTCAATAATAATCTCACACCTTCCTACAACTTCTCTATCAGACCTTTCCTCCTCTCTCTCTTC